CCCCCCCGCGCCCCCGCCCGCTTCCGCTCCCCGGCCTGCTTCTGGTGCGGCCGGCTTCGCGCGGGGCACGCCGGGAACTGTAGTTCCTGGCTTGCTGCAGCGCATGTCTGAGTGAGGTGTAGGCGAGGCACCATTTTGCCTCGGGCCTCAGAGTCCACCTCAGCCGCCGGGGAGTCTGGAAGCGGGGCGATGCCACTGCCCACGGGGAACACTCCCACCCGCACGCCCTGTGGAGCCCGCTCTTGGTCCGCAGCACCTCACCCTGTGGGGCTGGGCCTGCCCCCCTGTCAAAAGAAGGAACCCGCCATGGCAGCAAGATGGGCTGCTCAGGCCAGGCCTGCCTGCGCTGTCCCTCTGATCATAGGGGCTGCCTGTCCTCCTTGGGGCGCTTGGTTGCTGCTGAAAATGGGCTGCAGAGGAGCTCAGTCCACCCCAGGCATGAGGCCCTGCTGTCAGGGGCAGCATCCCTTGCCATTGTGCTCTGCTCCCAGCAAGCTTAGCCTGGAAATCAAACTCCTCACTAGCAGTTTGCAGGCTTGTTTTGTGGTTTTTTACACCTCATTACAGACTTTTGCCCCCACAGCTGTTTCAGCAACAACTATAATCTCAGCAGGACCAGTGAAAACTCAAGAGAAGGTGCAACCGTACTTTAGTGAAGCTTGAGCCTGGTACCAGTGTGAGAGGTGTTTGTAAAGGCAGTGGTTCTGTATTCAGCAGTCCAAATGGGGTTTATGCCAGGAGTAATTGCTTGTAAGATATGCCAAGTGCCAATGAGAAGAAGAATTTGTAGATTTTGCAAATAAACAGCTTTCCAGGCATGCTTGATTCCTGGTCTCTAGTTTATTGCAGTTGTTCCTACTTGGCTGCAAAGGTCTAAACAGCAACAAAGCAGAAACATAGCTAGACTTTAATGAAATAATACTGGCAATTAAAAATACTTAAAATAGACTAATTCTAGACTCTAGGTAGAATTTTAGACTAAAAAAAATACCCATATGGCAGCATAAATAAGCATTATTTCTTTACAAATAGAAACCATGACTATCGCACGCATTCACCACTGAAACAGAGGGCAGCTGGAAGTACTTACCTGTACAAAACTATTCTTTACAACCATCATGATGATAGTTCTTTGTGTCGATTTGCCAAACTGAGTTGTGACCTTCTTTCCATTTGCTTTACAGCACAAGGCACGTGTAACCAGCACCTTGGCAAGATACTTATCCTTTCAGGTTTTGCCTCTTGGAGGTAGAACATCAGCAATGTTAGGAGACAGAAGTATGTACTTGTGAATAACTGTTCATTGAGTCCTCATTCATGAGTTTTGATGTTCTGGATGTTGTTTCAGTTAGGATGAGATGGTGATAACAGACTGATATATCTCTTGTGCAGCACTGTTTATGTACAAAGAATGAGCAAGGTCCCACTTTCTTGTACTGAGCAAGAATTAGATGGCAGAAGATATTTCCAATGCCCTTTCCACCTAACAATTGCTGCTAGTACCCCATCTTTTTCTCCAGGTAGCCAAGACCTAGGTGTTTTGTTCTTTTTTATCATGTGTATTCAAATCTCCATCAACATGCAGAAGACAGTTTTTAATCAATCTGCATGTGCCTGTTCAGAATCTGGTACTCCTTTTATTTTGGCTACCAAAAGAGCTCAATTTCTTTTATACTTATATTAAATAAAAAGAGATCCTCCCAGCTTCAACAGAGCATAATGCAGTTATGCAGCATAACACACTTAAATGGCAGCCACCTAATTTCTTTTATGTGTGTGTTTTGTCACAAGTTAAGTAAAGCTCACTGAACTTGCAGTAGTGCCTGCAGCATAATTTCTTTTCATCCCTCAATCTAATCTAAGGGACTAAGTCTTCTGTTTTCAACTTTAAAAGCAAAAGGAGAGACTCTTGGGTTTTGGCATTTTAACAGAATTTTCACGTTCATGCTATTTTTTTCTCCAACTCACATAGTATCCTTCACAAAAAGATTCATTGCACATAGCATTCAAGATAATTCCCATTACAATTTACAAATCGTACAGAAAATACTAGGGCTATTAGGTGTCACTGCAGCAGTTTAATACCGACCCTTTCTCTTATACTCCCACATGTATGTCCTAAAATACCCTACAAATGGTGAGAGTAGAAATCAGAATACAAACCAGTTCTTGCATTCCAGACCTCTTCAGCACATCCATAATGAGTTTAATTGATTTTGGAGCAAAGCAGCTAAACTTTGAGATGAATGTTTAAACCTGCAAAACAGTAATACATGCTCAAAAAGGTTTACTAAAAAAAAAAAAAGAATCAGGTAATAACACTAAATGATCCTACTTGAGATTCCTGTATACTTAGCTGCTTGTAAGTAAGGACTAATCTGTTTCTCATCACAGCAAGGACTCCCTGTTAGACTGAGAGTTCCTTTAAGGACGCAAATTTATTCAACACAAAATTCAGAAGAAAAACCCCTCACTATAAAACATTTCCACTGAACACTTTAGAATATGGTCTACACAAACCATCTAAGGCGCGTGATTCAAAGATGACTAGCAGACACCCACCTCTTCCTTCACCTCCTCTTTCTCAGGAGAGGAAGCCCCTGCCAATATCCCATACTTGTCTGGTAACTGCTTCCCCTCTCCCCACCCCATCAGTCCCTCTGGATTTTAAAGGGGTAGGCTATTTAGCTGCAGTTTTCATCTCACTTTTAATAAGAAAGCATGTGTGAAAAACCAACACAGCTAACAAAGAATTAAGGTTACACCATTAGTCACTGAAAGGGGAGAAAGTATGAAGTGAAAAGTGCAAGTCTAATGCTACCCCTTTGAGTCTATGTATTGTAACACGGTCAAAACACGCTTTGACTTTAAAACAGATGTTTTTAGATATTCGTAAACAAATCTGCAATGCTTCTAAGAAGCTGCAGGATCATCAAAGGAGTGACAAATACATTCAATTTCTCCCAGCACTATTAGCAGCATACATTATCTCTAAATTACAGCCGTGCCTCTTAAGGTTAAGTCTACCATTCTTTATATTGTTATGCAAATGTTGGTCATGGCTTGGTGGCTGCTGCTGCCATTTTAGGTCTATTAATTTGTAGCATGTAAGAGTGCCGGTCATGGACAAGGAGCCCACAGCGCCAGGCAATGAGGTCGCCTGGGACAGCCTGGCTCCTGACCTAACAGGGGAGGTTGTGCACACAGTCACAAGGCGTTGGTGAGGCAGTATTTGCCTGCACAAAAGGAAGCCTAAGCCTCGTCAAGTGTTTCTTGTGAGGAAAAGGGGGATTTTGAAGGTGTGTTAGTTTTCCATCTGTGTGCAGGCGGCTTCTCCCAGACAAGCTGGGCAGCGTGACGCCCTCGGGGCTGCATACAAGAACTTACCTGGTGATACCACCAGTTGGTGAGTGATGGGCTGACTCTGTTCCGTGAGAGAGGCTGTGCCTGAGATAGGAGAGCTGGGGTGGACCACGGAAGATCTTGAAAGTGAGGACAAGCAGCTCTCATCTAATGTGACAGAGAGTAGGGAGCTAGGGGAGAAATGCAAAGATAGGCATGGCAGCACCAGAGGACCAGCTAGAGCCATATCCTCTGCCGAGGCATTTAGAGTGATTATGTGGAGGACAGGGCTGCATTTATTAAGTGCAGGCCAAGGGCAGTAAGCACGATTCAAAGTGGCAACAGCTTGGATGAGAACCATCCAGCTAAATGGAGGGAGACAGAAAGCCTTTCTGTCGGGAATTATTTATAGAACAAACCTTGGAAGGCTCAGACATGGCCTGAATAAGGACACAGGGAGAGGTCTGGACCAAAGATGTCCCCCCAGTTGTAGGCATATGTGAACATTGGCCTAAACAGCAACTGAGGAGCAGCATGATGAAGAGGTCTGGTTTAGCCGAGCTTGAGCTTGACCTGACAGTGTGACTTATCTGAGCAGGCATCAGAGGCAGGCAAGGCTGGGTTTGGGAACAAGGTCTGCGATTCATCTTGCCCAGTTTGTCTGAAGTGCAGACATCAGCATCAGAGCCACTCAGCTGGGTTCCATTTTAGGTAGGAGAGGGAAACAGGTTTTTCCTGGGTGCCATTCACCCAATCTGCTTTAGATACCTCCTATAGGATTAGCTGTAAAGGGAGGCTAGACGGCGTTGCACCTACACTGTACCCTGTTATTTTTGGTCAGGTTGATCTCACCTTGAGAGACTCATCT